GGGATTTTGTTGTGCAGTGCTAGTGTCCGGCAGTGCATAATGTTGGTTCTTATAACACTTGTAATGCTCAATGTTTGGGTTATTCCAGCAGATGAAGTACTTTCACCAAACATAAATCTCCTTGAAGTACTAGAGAAAATAACAACCATGGAAAAAAGGATGGAATCTATGGAGAATGAAATGGAGCGACTAAAAACCGAGAACAAAGGTAACGTGACGGGATACTATACATGACCGTGCCAGTTTAAAATGAACCGCAATTTGTATATGTCTAAATGTTTATAACACCATATTGTTTTACTGAAAGATTATAAAAAAAGTTAAGTTGCGTATCACTACTTGACAAAGTTAAGTCTTTCTTCAGCTTATATTCACTGTCCACATATGCACTAAACATTTGTTTATTATTTTAGAACAAGCAGAAGAACTGACGATTTTGAATAAAACAACAGTTGACACCAATATCAAACTGGATGAACTAATGAAGCAGAATCAAGGTAACAAATGACAATTTCTAAAGTCACTAAAAATTAAGGCTGTTACAACTTTGTAAAAATTTGTCATCAAGTTAAATGAGTCGGGATTCATTTAATGTTGAATTTTGCTTTTTTATTTTTATATATTTTTCTAAAATATGTAGCTCCACAGTACTGCAGTTTGTACAGAGCTTAAGTTACACTCTTGGTCTTCCGCATGAATACATTAAACTTATCAAATGTGACCGTAACGACATAATATTATAAAATATTTGTGTTCCATATAAATGCCGTTTTTAAACTAATCATCCCAAATCCTGGGGAAAAATTTTTTTTTAAGATTTATTGAGCACTAAATCCCTATTAGAATGCATTTCTGCAGAATGAAGACTGGAGTAATGGCAAATAAATTAAATGTATTCTTGTAAACCATGAAATGCAGCCTTAAGAGACAAATCTTACCAACCCAAAACTTTTGAACAATAAGCATGAGAGAATTTGTAATCTGATTTGTTTGTTTTAGCTCCTAAAGTGGCTTTCTCAGCCTCTCTGTTGAGCTCTTTCGGACCACAAAGCGTTGGACCCTTTCATAATGGTCTACACACCCTGATTTATGAATATGTCTTCCTTAATATTGGCGACTCCTATGATCCAAACACAGGTGAATCTATTCATATAGTGACTGTATCTGTGTTTTTTTTTATTTATTTTTTTATAATGCTCTCATTTGAATGCATCTAATTAACCACTGTCTGTTACAGGAATCTTTACAGCACCTGTGAGGGGAGCGTATGCTTTCAGGGTCTTCTCCAAGGCCTTTGGAAGTCCAGAGAGAGATGTTACTGCAGGCCTATTTAAGAATGACCAGCACATCATTTCTACACATGGACAGCAAGCAAGCGGTTTTATCAGCTCTTCAAATGGAGTCTCTCTGCTGCTAGAAGAAGGGGATCAAATGAAGGTGAATCTCTATCCTGGACAATGGATTTTCGACGATGGAGAACATCATCACAGCACATTCAGTGGACATCTGCTTTTCCCCATGTGAGCTTGCAGACCATTTATAAAATTAAAAAAGCAAAAGCATGTCCTTAAACCGCTTAAATCATTGTACTTAATGTAACTGAATGTATAATCAAGTGTCTGTCAAATTCATATAATTTCTTAATATGGCTTTAAATCAGTGTCATTAGTGTAAAATGAAAATGTGCAGAATGCAACATTACAACTGATGGAAAAGATTATGTATTGGCGTATCGGCACAAATTCATGGGTTCACTTCCAGCAGCTTGACTGGGCCAAAAGCAAGAATAAAAATACCTGTTTCTTAGTGCATCTGTCCTACAGTTTGACGGTTCTGTCATGAGCTGATGAGGCTCTCGTTAAGCTGCAGTACACT